CCACTCTTGTACTTTTTTATCTTATATTTGAGTGTTTATGAGAGAATGTAATTACAATGTCTTTTTTTTTCTTTTTTGGCTTTAGTTGGTTTTTTCATCTATTTCTTTTTATGTTTCTCCAATTTCCCCGAACTTCATATTTTCTTCCTCATGTTGACAGGAACAATGTTTGAGAATATCTGACTCTTTCTTCTCTCTTTTCCTTGCACCTTTTTTGTTGTGGTTGGGAAAAAGAGGAAAAAATCCCTCTGGAAGAAAGCGTGGGGGGAGGAGTGCGCATCGGTGGTTGTTTATTATTATGATCTGTTCAAATTAATGTTTCCTTTAAATTTTAAGGAATTATATTCGGACTTTCTGAAGTTTGTCATTTAATCACCCAAGTCCCCTAATATTTGAAATATTACACACAGATCTCCTAAAATTTATACGCACATAACATGTAAACCCCTGTCGTCAATGCCCGTTAATAAATTATACTCAAACCCCCTAAAATTTGTATGTGTGTAATATTTAAAACACCTTAAGTTTAAAATAATATATTTAGACCAAAAATATTTCAATCAAAGATAAATATCAAATATTTTAAATTTTACAACTAAAATTTATGTTATATTGTGAAATTTATTCAAATAAAATCAAAAATAAAAATTTAATTTTTTCTTAAAAATCATAATTAGTATACAATTATACTATTTATTAAAATTTAATTTGATCGTTTAAACAATCAAATTAAATTACCAAATTACCTCAATTAAAATTAGAAGATATTCTATTATGATTTTTTAGTTTTATTCCAATAGAAAGTATAATTGAATACTAATTATGATTTTTTAAGAAAAAAATAGATTTTTATTTCTAATTTTATTTCAATAAATTCCATAATAAAATATAAATTTTTATTATAAAATTTAAAATATTTGATATTTTATCTTTAATTTGAGTATTTTTTGTCTAAATATAATATTTTAAACTTAAGGGATTTAAATATTACACGCCTACAAACTTCTGAGGGTTTGGATGTAATTTGCTAACGAATATACTAACGGACATTGGTGACAGAGATCTAAGTGTTATGCACATACAAGTTTCAGGGATCTGTATATAATATTTAAAATAACAAGAAGTCTGAGTAATTAAGAGCTCATTTGGGAACGTTCACAATTTAGTTTTTTAAAAAATGAAAAACAGAATCAGTTTCAAATTATCATTAATAAAAAATGAAAATAGAAAACATGTTTGATTGCTTTTATAGTTGTAAAAAAAATTAAAAACAAAAACAGGAAACTCGTTTGGTTGTAATACTTGTATTTTTTTTTTTTTTGGGACTAGGTTGTATACATTAACATAATTTCATTCTATTAAAAAGTTATAACAACAATCCATAACCGATCATCCAATAGTTTTCAAACATTTTTTTTTTTAAAAAGAATAAGATAATTTTATTGATAAAAGGAGTAATTACAAGAAGCAAAGAACAAACAGTTTTGAAAAAATACAAAAAATGACTTTCATCCTTCAAGATGATAAAAACCATTTTTAACTACATTTCTGCACCTTCAGACCTTCACAGTTCGGCTCCTGGAACCTCCCCAGACAGCTTCTGATGCAGTTCCCTTTCAAATCTGAAGCTGCATTCCAGCCCCCAGCTCCATGCCATGAGAATCTCCAAGATCATCAATAGATCAGCTCCAAGCTCAGAAGCTGCCCTTATCAGCACCAGCCCATCAGTTTCCTACATCCAACTCTCCATCTGCATTATACCTGCTGAGCTCTAATTACAACCTTCCTCCTCCTTACAGTGGGCAACTTAGATTGATCCTGAATTTAGAGCAGTCTGACAGTTAATGGCAGACTGCCATCAATTGAGAAATCAGTAAAACAGCCAGAACAAACAGCAAATGAGGCCAAAAAGTCAGCTACAGCATTTCTAGAAAGCAATGTCAAGCTTTCTTCATGGAAGGCAAAAGAATAGATATATTTTGAGACAAAAACCTTTAACGTTGGAGCATTATTTGAAGGAATATAAGTGAAAGTACTAAATGTATGTATTTTAGATCAAATAAAAACCCACAAATTATTCAATATCTGCACATACTTTAACCAGTTAAATGGCATTGGCAAATAATGATACAATATAGAGCAAAATAAAATTTACATCCAAATTTCCACCCAAATTTCCGGGCATGAACAAACTAGACACTTGTTTTCTAGCAAAGTTACATTTGGACCCAGCATATCATCAAAAAGCTACCAGGCAAAGAACAAACCCACAATTCATAAACTAAAAGCCACACAAATCTCCATAACAACGAAGTAAAGCATATCATAAATTTTATATGAACTACGTTGCATGAGATAACAAAATCTAGAGATGAGATCAGATCTATAACCAGAGATCAGCAAAAATCAGAGGCAAAAATCATATCTATAACCACTAAAAATCAGATCTATAACCAACAAAAATTAGATCTATAAATACCAAAAATCAGATCTATAACCAGCAAAAATCAGAGAAAAAAATCAGCAAAAATCAGAGAGATGTAACTTCACCGACGCAAAGTAGAACAACTATCAATGTCTTCGTTGAAAAGGAGAGGCGCCTGGCGATGAAGAGGACAGCCGACGAAGAGGAGAGGGGAGAGAGAGAGAGGGGGAATGAAGCTGAGAGGCGACGATTAGATGTGAGGGGTTAGGGCTTGGGTATTGTTATTTATATGGGGCCAATAAATGTGTCATTTTGGTGCTAACAAGGTTCAATGTTTTGACCTCGGTAACAATAAATGCGCGATAAACGTTTTTTGTTTTTTCGAAAACGTTTTTTTTTTATTTTTGAAAATCACTGTAGTTTATAAAACGATGACAGAAAAAAAAAAACGGTTATCAAACGAGTTTGTTTTTCTTGTTTTCTCTAAATATCAAAATAAAAACAAAAAATATAAAACGTAAACGTTATCAAACGAAACTTAAGTAACAACTCTCAAACAGTTTGGGTGTAATTATCCCTTTATTTTACTAAGATTTTGATCATCTTTTGTGGTTCAGCTATATATAATGGAAACCTTTGTACAAACAGTATCAGGACCTTGTAGTGTCTTTTGACTCTTGAAATTATGTAATACAAGAAAAAGCACTCTGGCTTTTCTTTTCTNGAGTTACTAAGTTGGAGACATGGTCTGCTTGAGAGTAGAGCCAGAGTTAGGCCAAGCTTTCTGGAGACTCTCGTGAGAGCTGTAAAGCTAGAGACATAGGTTGTCTGGTTGAGAGAAGAAGCAAAGTTAGACCAACCTTTCTAGCGACTCGCATGAGAGCTGCAAAGCTGGAGACATAGGTTGATTGCTTAAGAGCAGAGACAGAGTTAGGTCAAGCTTGTGCCGACTCATGAGAGAGATGCTAAGCTGAAGAATGAGGTTGTCTGCGTGAGAGCAGAGGGAAAGTTAGGCCAAGCTTTCTGGCAACCCTCGTGAGAGCTGCCAAGTTGGAGACAAAGACTGCTTGCTTAAGATAAGAGGCAAAGTGAGGCCACGCTTTTAATGACTCAGAAGAGAACCACTAAGCTGGAGATCGAGGCTACTTGCATGAGAGCAGAGGAAGAATTAGGACAAGCTTGTGGTGACTCGCTAGAGAACAGCTAAGCTGGGGACATAGGCTGCCTGTGTGAGAGCAGAGGTAGAATAAGGCCAAGCTTTTGGCGACTCTCATGNTGTAGTGGGTACTACCTTCATTAGAGTACTGCCATAATGACCCAAGAAGGGGCTAGGGGGCAGGCTCTTGTGGAAGCCCTGTATGCCCTTCTCTATTTGAGGGATCCTTCATATTTTGCACACGTACCAGACTTGTAATAAACATTTAGAAACAGGAGACGGTCAGTAGTCTCTGTTATTGCAGTTCCTCATTATGCTAAGATAGCCATCAGTTCCAACTTCCAACTACTAACAATGAATTAAAGTTGTGGACATCATAAGCACCAGGGGTGTCCATGGGCCAGGGCTAGGCCCATGAAATTTTTTCGGGCCGGGCTGAGTAGTGTAAGCTCAAGTCCTTACCCAAGTGAGTTATTGGACGAGCCGGGCAGGGTTTCGGGTAGGGGTAGACTACCCGCAACCCAACCCGTGACCCTATTGGGCGGGCCCGTTTGTGGAATTTAAAAATAATGAATATTTTTGTAACTTAATATTTGTGTAAATTATATTTTTGAATCAAAAGTAAAGTCAAAATGAATAAAAATAAAATAATGAACTACATTTAATAGAATAAATAAATCTCAACTAAGTTGACATTTACTAACTTTTTTGTCATTTATATTACTCTACCATTTAAAACTTATATGCTTAATACATCGAAAAAAAATAATATATTATTTAAAATATCTAAATTTTTAAAACTTTAAATTTCGATATTAACAGATTTATTTTAAAATTTTAAATTTAATGGTCTAAAAGTATAATTTTTTTTCAAATGAATGATAGGTTGGGTTGGGCTTGCGGACGGGCTCTTAGGCAGAGCTTCGAGCCGGGTAATAGATTTAGGGACAAACTCAAGCCCTCTTCTTAAAGATATTGGGCTCGGACTTGGACTGGTCAACTATCGGGCTTCGAGCCTATTTTTTTCGGGCCGGATAACGAGACCCATGGGTAACCCGGCCCATGGCCACACCCTAATAAACACCTTTTTTTTTTTTTTGAACTGACCCTAATAAGCACCTTGGAAATCACTTCCGTTGAAGATAATTCAGGCGGAATTAACTCCGTCCTCCCTCGGTTGCTTCTAAACATGTTTGTCTTGATTCTTATTTCACAATGCATATAGGAATTTAGTTCTCACCATGGCTGGCTAATAATTTTCACCCTTTGTTCCATATGCAGTAGTTGACTAGATTTATTAAACCTTTTTTTACTTGCTGATTCAATCCCTTCCTAGCTTAACAGAATATATATTTGTACAAATAAACATACACAAGTGCAATATTCACAAGATTAGAAAGCACATGATTTTCCAATATTGCACGCATCGAAAATTTTCGATTTAGCCACAGGTTTTGGAAAACCAGTAATTGAGAAAATTCACCATTATCAAATAAAAAAAGATGCACTCATACTGTGGGTTCAAACGTTGCCCTTCTTCCATAAGTCTCTTACCATTCCCAAAACACTTTGTTGATAGTACAATAGTAAAACAAAAGTATCTTGTGTCAATCTTATATTTCTTTTTTCTCCACCAATAATTAGCTTGCAAATTGTCATTTTTCTTTCTTCTTTGAGATACCTATGTGTGTAGAGCCTTCTGTAGCAGATCACTTCAATCTCATTGTGGAGTAAGGACGTACATTTTAGAATCATGAGGCTCCACATTAGCAGTGAGTTGTCCAGTAACTGACATTTGAGTTGAATGCTGCACATCCAAACAGATCCATGTAATTAGCAAGAGTTAATGTTAGGGACCCAATAGCAAATCCTAAATCCCAATTCCCGATGCAGGGCTGGGGCCGGGTGGAGGTTGGGTCTAACTGAAATCTTGTTTCTTTATCTTCAAAAAACATAACTGAAAACCCAAATCATAGATCTTACCACCCATAAATCTCGTGCATTAACAGTTGTCGTCGATTTGAGGCCAATGTCGCCCCAGTAGGCAGTAATATCTGCTTTTGAAGCTCCTCTGTTCCACAGGGCAACTGCTATTCTGTTATTACTGAGAGGCCCTGCCCATACCTGTTGTATTGCTCCCCCAAAAGATAGTTTTTATATAAACTTGTATATATTAGTCACAATAACAGTGAAGTTGTTGATCTGAATTGGAGAATAATAATTTTGTCCATATAATTTCAAAAGATAAATCTACATTACAGAAATCAAATTGGGTAGTTAAGCTTTCATACACCAACTATGAGAAGAGAGAATTTTTGTGTGCGTGCGTGTGTGTGTGTGTGGAGGGTGGGGAGGAGTAGTAGATATTTTATCAAATGTTACCTCCAAATCTCCATCCTTTTTGACCTTTTTCCCTTGAACTCCAAGTTTATCTGCACCAAAATTCTGTGTCAAGGAACTTTAAATCAAAGCTTCTCACTTCTAAAACCAACAACAACATTTAGTTATACAATTGCACTTACCTTGATTAACTGCAATAACTTCTTTATTGCTAAGCAATTCGTAGGTCATACTGTCCATCGACCGCACATCGCACCCAATCAATAGAGGTGCCTATATTCCAAAATATTATCAAAACAAAATTCAATCAAATTGCACACACTATTCTTGTGATGTGTGTGTGTGTGTATATATATATATATATATATATATATAACTTTCTCATCCTTTAATTCTTTTTCAGTAAGTAGTTCTGAAAATCATAGTCTACCCTAATTTACCTAGGAAATATCATATTAAAATAAGAAACCCAACCCAATCAGAATGAAATTGCAAAACTCAAAATCGAATAGAACCTGAAACCCGCCCTGAAAACATCACTAACTCTCCACTCTCCCTCTTGTACATAAAGCAATCCGGCATAGGCAAATACTATTTTTCATGCTGAAGAATGAATGTATGTACATTGTTATATATGTTCAAAGCAAAACAATGCAGCCCCCCCC